AATCTGGCGTCATAAAAGCATTCTGAGCCGAGGTGAAATTACAGTTTCCGCAGAACGCTTTCTGAGCTCTTCAGCGCTCCTCTTCATGAGCATTTGAGTGCGCGGATAAAAACTAGATTAGAGCACCATCTGCTGTTAAATTCTAAGCTCAGAATCCAGAGAATCGCGATGCATTCGGAAGATCTCAGAATTGATCCACGAATAGATTCTGCATCGATTTATCGTCACAGCCCTATAATATGCAAGCCTAACCTTCTTCCTCTTCCTCTGCAGGTCTTCCCAAATCCTGGAGTTCTTTGTCTACTTGTGCCTCATCTGGCATTTGAGTATCATCACATTCCAGATGTTCCACTTCCTCTGCATTGTTCCCTGTCTCGTTTGTAGAGTTTGGCTCCCCAACATCGTAATTGTCCTCTTCCTCGTTCATCTCTTGAACCTGGTCACCTCCCTGCTCTCGTGTCTTGCTGGTTGCTACGTAAATCCTCACATCATCCAACTCTTCAAGGAGCGTGATTTCAAAATATCTAAGGAAGTTGTCAATGAAGCCCAGATCCGAAGCATAGCGGACCTTGTTCGCCCAGACTAGAATAGTTCCCGGCTGGCAGAAGTGACGCATGGTGACCAGCAGCTCGGCCAAGAAGTTGTGGTGATAGACCACATCAGTCGCCAACACATAATCATACTGGTGTGTGGATCTGGGGAAGAACTCGTCCAGCTTGTGACCCCAGTAGAGTTCTGCAACCAGGGGCTCGTGTCTCTGCCGGCCTCTCGTGTTCCTGCTGAGGTTGTATCTCAGATTACTTAGTATCTCGGGTAAATCCGTTGCTGTTAGTTTGGCACCTATAGAGCAATTTCAGTGATTATCTTGCAACGTACAAAACCATTTAGATTAGTACTCGAGTCTTATCCCAACACTTACCCAATAATGTGACGACAACCGAAAGTAAGCCGGTTCCGGCTCCAAGTTCAAGAACTGATTTGTCGAGTAAATCAATGTGTTGATGACCCTGCGACGTTTCCAAGAATCGGCAAAGTGCAAGTGCCTATATGGAAGGATTACAAATCATATTTTAAAAGTACACCATGTTTGTTTTGCTTGACTGTTTTCTTGGACTA